CTGGGCATGGTGGCATGTGCCTATAGCCCCAGCTACTTAAGAAGCTGAGACAGGAGGATCGCTTGAACCTGGGAGGTGGAGGTTGCAGTGAGCCACTGCACTCCAGCCTGGGTAACACAGTGAGACTCTGTCTTAAACAAACAAACCAAAAAAAAAAAAAAAAAAAAAAAAAAATCACCACAAATAGCAATAACACCAAAGGCTGGCAAAGTTGCAAAGGAAATAGATCACCCATACATTGTTGGTGGAGTAGTAAAATGGTACAGCCACTCTGGAGAATGGTTTAGAAGTTCCTTTTAAAACTAATACTGGGCTTACCATATGTATTAGTCTGTTTTCACACCACTGATAAAGACATACCTGAGACTGGGCGATTTACAAAAGAAAGAGGTTTAATTGGACTTACAGTTCCAAATAGCTGGGGAAGCCTCACAATCATGGCGGAAGGCAAGGAGAAGCAAGTCATATCTTATCCGGATGGCAGCAGGCAAAGAGAGAATAAGCTTGTACAGGGAGATGCACCTTTTTAAAACCATCAGATCTCATGAGACTTATTCACTATCAGGAGAACAGTGCGGGAAACACCCGCCCCCACAATTCACTCACCTCCCACAACGTGTGGAAATTCAAGATGAGATTTGGGTGCAGACACAGCCAAACCACATCACCGTACAATTCCGCAATCGCACTCTTGGGCACATATAACAGAGAAATTAAAACCTATCTTCATGCAGAAACACTTGCAGAAATATTTATAGCACTTTATTTGTAATAACCAAATCCGGAAACTATGTACATTTCTTTTCAGTGAGTGAATAGCTAAACATCAGTACCACCGGACCCTACTCAGTGATAAAAAGAAACAAATTATTGCTAAATGCAACAACTTAGATGAACATCAAGGAAATTATACTAAGTGAAAGAAGCCAATCCCCAAAAGATACATATGGCATAATTCAATTTATATAACATTCATGAAATAACAAAATTATAGAGATGAAGAACAGATTCGTGGCTTCTGGGAAAGTTAGGGATGTGGGGTACTGAAGGGAGTGGATGTCCATAAAGGGGCAGCACAAAGGAGTCTTAAGGTCGTGGTACAGTGAGGCATCTAGCTTGTGGTGGTGGCGTATACAAAGCGACTCGTGATAAAACTGCATACAGCTACACACACACACACACACACACACACACAAACACAAATGAGTATATGTATAACTAATGAAATCTGAATCAGCTCTATGGATTGTGCCAATGTCAATTTCCCGGTTTCGATAATATATTACAGTTTTGCGAGATGTTAACACTGGGAAGCCCAGCTACGAGGTACACCAGACCTCCCTCCAGTGCCTTTGAATCTTCCTATAAATCTACAATTATTTCAGAATAAAAGCTTAAATCAAAGAAGTAGATAACTGAATTTTAAGAGGCAAAATACTTGAAATACTTCATTAAAGAAGATAGGCCAATAAGCATAAAAAGGTGCAAAACATCACTCATCATTGGGAAAATGCAAATTCAAACTGCAACAGGAAGCCACTTTACACCCATTAGAAGAGCTAACATTTAAAAGATCACAATATTAAGTATTGGTGGGGATATGGAGCAACTGTAACTGTTATACATTAGGAATCCAAAAGGGTATGGCCACTTTGGAAAACAATTTGCCAAAAGTTAGCACACATTTCGCATACAACCCCATCATTTCACCTCTTGGTATTTACATAAGAGAAATAAGAACGTATGTCTACACAAAGACCTGTACATGAGTATTCATAGAAGCTTTATTCATAATAGCTAATTTGTTTTTATGATTAAGTATAGAGTATATCTGAGCCCAAAACTTGAGAATGGCCGCTGGGGAGCACAAATTCAAGTTGTCCTCATAACATACTCTGATTAGCAGCAGTTACAATTGAGTTTTAAAGGAAGAAAGAAGAGGCAGTTTTTAAATTGTTTACCAGAAATTTACATTAAAATAACGGAGCCATAAATAGCTGAAAATTTAAAGCAACCTCAAAGTCCATCAACTAATGAATGGATAAACAAATTATGATTCATCCATGCAATGGATATTACTCAGCAATAAAAAGAATCAATTACAGATACATGTAACAACATGGGGGAATAGAAAAAGCATGATTATGTTAAATGAAAGAAACCAGACACAAAAGGGTGCATATGTCATGGTTTTATATGGCATTCTAGAAAAGACAAAACTGGAGAGAGAAGAAGAAGAAGAAGAAAAAAAAAAAACAGATTAGCAGTTGCCAAGGACTGGGATTGATTGCAAAGGGGCACAAGGGACCTTTTGGGGGCAAAGGAAACATTCTGTATCTTGATTGAGATGGTGGTCACATGACTGTATGCAAAACACACTGAGCTATACATTTGAAAAAGGTAAATGTCATTTAATTACATGTAAATTATACTTCCTTTTTTTTTAAGGAGACCAGTGGCCAAGGGTCTAGTAAAGCATCCCCATTAAAGACACACATAGTTCCTAAGCACAACAGCAAGGGGCTAAGTAAGGCAGCCTACATAGCAAAATGTCCCAGGCTTAGGGTTCACATTCAGTCCACTGTTACTCAGGTTTATGCCTCCGGTAGTGCAGTGGGCTTACCTGAGAGCCCTGGCTTTCTGGAAGAAGGGATTACATTAGGTATAAATGTGAATAGAAATAAAGACTTCAAGAGGTGGACAATCTAAAAGAGGACTGAGTGCCCTGCACAGAGGAAGTGAGCAAGACATCAGCGCATGGACAGCAGGAAATAGAAGCAGAAGTACTTTGGAGTCCTGGTTTTCTTCAGGTCAGCTAATATTTCAGAAAATGTTTAAGAAGCCCTTTGTGATTATAACATATGGCACTTTGCAACATTCTCTCTAACCCCTCACAGCAATTCCTCAAGGCAAACCTCCCTCATGAGGCTGCAACAGAGACAGGCAGCCAGCGCCTTGGGAGGTGCTCAGGTTCTGGAACGAGACTTGAGTGTGTATCCCAGTGCTGCTACCTACTGGCTGGCGACTTGGTATAGCTGCTAAATCTCTTTGACCTTCCTGTTCCAGAAATGATATTGACAACGGAAAATAGACAACAGACTACATTTCCACCTTCCTCTCTTGGTAAAGTGTTATACTTTAACAGTGTTCCTTGAAGGCTCTGTTTTTAAACTTGTTTATTCAGTAGTCAACAAAGATTACTTTTCAAATCATAAGAGGAGGCAGCTCAGATGGTCCTGTTTTATCCTTGTCTATGTGACTGTGGTATTATTATATATATATACACACACACACACATTGGTTTTTGTACACGGTTCCTGGCTCCTATGTTCCATAGCCCTTGTTATTTCTCCCCAAGATAGTCTACAGAAACCAAACAACAACAACAACAAAAATACTCTAATTTTCCCCTGGCTTTCTGCTGGCCATAAAAAATTAACTTGTTTAATTGTGAGTCATAGACCCTCATTTCAGAAGTGATCCTGCTCCATGCTCTGGATGAAGGAATGCTGCATGGAGAGGCCAAGAAGAATCTCTTTCCTGGGTTTCCCCAGTCTGTTAATATCACATTGTACGTTTATCTGTCCAGTCATAATTCCACATGGCTGCCAATCATGCCTCCCAGTTAAGTTTTTATAAAAGGCCCAAGGGGACAGACAGGGTTTGGAGAGCTCTGGGGAGCTGACCCTGTGGGAGCTCCTGGAGGGCGGCACACACGGGCGGGCATGGAAGCCCTGGGCCTCGCCCCCCATCCCTGGCCCTATGCATCTCCTCATCTGCATCCTTTGTATAATATACTGGTACATTTCCCTGAGTTCTGTGAGCTACTCTAACAAATCAAACCGCAAACAGAATCATGGGAACCCTGGTTTATAATTTACAGCCAGTCAGAAACACAGGTAAACAGCCTGGCACTTGCAATTGGCACTGGAGTGGTGGGGGTGGGGGTGGGGGCGTCACTCTGGAGGACTGAGCCCTCATCCTGTAGGATCTAATGCCGTCTCCAGCTAGGTGGTGTCAGAAATGAATTGGAGCACATCTGGCTAGTGCTTGCCACAGAACTGATGGCGTGCTTCCTGGGGGGAACACATTCCCACGTATTTTTTTGAGGAAAACTGTACTGAGAAAATAAACATTTTAAGCTTTGTGTGTGTGTTTTTCCCACTCAGTGACAAAAAGGGAAGGGAGGGGTTGTCTTCCATTGTCGTGTCCTGAAATTAATCTCCACATTTCAAGAAAATTAAGTGTTACCTGTTGTGTCAGGGTTCTTTGGAGAAACAAAGGCAGTAGGAGACTCTCTCTCTCTCTCTCTCTCTCTCTCTCTCTATATATATATATATATATATATATATATATATATATATACACACACACACACACATACACATTTATACAGGTATACACATATAAACACACATATGTGAATATATATACACAGAGAGAGAGACTGAGAGAGAGAACTGGCTCCATGAGTGTGTGGGCCGGCCCGATGCTGCAGGCTTGAGGCAGAGCTTCTCCAGGCAAACCTCGGCTTTGCTCAGAAGGCCTTTAAGCTGATTGGATGTGGCCCACCCACAATATTGAGAAAACCTCTTCTACCTAAAGGCAACTGATTATAGATGTTAATTAACCACATGTACAAAATACCTTCACAGCAACACCTGGGTTAGTGTGTGACTGAATTATAAGTAGACACATATAAAACTGGCCACCACACCTGTCATGTGGGCTCAGCGGCTATGCACAGAGAGGGCTGAAGATTCTTACTCCAGTTTTCAGGAGAAGCAGGAGGAGGTTTAGGGAGGGGAGGACTGTCCAACAGAGAAAACAAAACAAAGCATTCCTGGTCCCTTTCTTCTTGGGCAACTCTTAATTTCATGCATGTGCCACTTTCCCATATGAACTCTGTGGCATAAGCCGGAAACATTTAACCCAGCATCTAATAAAGGGATCTGAGTGACATAAAAAGAAAAAAAAAGAGACACAGACAGCAACCTCTAAAAAATAAAAAATAAAATTCATTTATTGAAAAGAAAAAGCTTAACATACAATCCATGTGCAAAACCCAAAACAGACTCTATGAGCTCTGGCATGAGCCACATCTCTACACACACCACGCCGGAAGTGCACATCCACGCAGCCACGTGATGTACACAGTACTGTCTGGTTATCAACACCTACTGTATGCTCAGTTTTCTTCACACATCCATTGACATGTTTTACAATAGAGTTACCAATTTTATTACCCACTGAAAGAACATATCTTCCCCAGAATCACTTTGATTTAAGCCAAATAACGAAGTGAATGCCAGGCACCCTGCACCCTCATTTCCTACCTTCCTCACTCTGATAACCTCCTATCAGCACCTTTTATGTCCTCTGGCCAGGGAATGATTCAGTGGCACAAAGGAAAGGGAAGAAATATTACAGGCTGGTGCTGCTGGGGCAAACAGCCTTGCAACCAGCCAGACTTATTGTCGAAAAGTATTAACCGTAATTTCAAAGACAAACCACACTCCTTCCTTTTCCCCTAATGGCCTCAGAGATTTGTAATGTACTTTGGAAAATTAACTTCTAAGGCAGACTGGAAGCCAACCTCAAGTCCTGCCACTTGGACTCTGTGGCTTCTCTTCGAGGAAGCAGCATCGTGAACCTAGCGGGGGCTGATGCTGAGGCTTGCCTTAACATCTCACCAGCTACTAAATAAAATCCCCTGCTACAGTCATGCTTGCTGTGAGCAGTGAGGAGAGCTGTAAACAGACATAAACTGAACTTTTTGCACTTCCAAAAAATAGGAGGTGAACATTAGTGTTAAACAGAGATCATGTTTTAGGAAGAGAGAAATCTGAGAAGAAAAAAGTAAGATGAGAGAAGAGAGAAGAAACATGATTTTTCTCATATACATGTTTGGGATCAACACTTTAAGACTACTGATAAAACTATAAATTTCATGGGGATAGATAGCAGTGAGCATCAGCCAATGAATCTGGCTGCAGAGGTGAGATGGAAGAGGGCAGCAGAAATGGAAAGATGCCACACATTCACACATATCCAGCCAGGGTTTGTGCAGATGAAGGGTTCTTAGCAGCTGGACAGCAGCACAATATAAATAATGCCATTTGTGACTGGTGCCAACTGCTAGGCAGGGTGAACAGAAGATGCCAGCTCACTCTCCCTGGCAAGTGCCTGCATTTAGGAGGATGTGCACTGCCCACTGGCAGCTGGAAGCCTGCTCCCAACAGCAGCATAGAGGAGAAAACCACCAAGGGGCTCTGAGAAAGCTACCTCTGGTTTGGGGAAGCGGGGGTGACAGGAGCAGGGTCACAGAGCTCAAGAGTATCTGGACAGAAATCCCACAGTTTCCCTTTGCTCCAGCAGATGCAGCCTCACAACTCCCAAAAGCCTTTGCTCTGTGATATTACTACTTATCCTGCGAAGACACCAGGGAGGGTTCTCTGCTTCAAGAAGCCCTGGGGGCTGCAGAAGAGATTCTGAGCTGGCTGAGAGCTGCTTGCATAAGGGGAGGAAGGGCTTCTTCCCACTACCATTGGCTGGCTGACCCTTTGCTTGATGCCTAAGAGCTGTGCAGCTGCATAGCCAGGAAGATCCTCCGACTGGAGCCCCTTCCTGGGTGTTTTGAAAGAGCCACGCAGTCTGTCGGTGTAGCAGGAACACAAGACGGAGATCAAACAGGCCATGCCAAATTGGCTTCCAGAAATCCTAAAGCTACAGCCAACTCTCCTACATACCATGTTCTCAGAGCCAGGGCCGTGGGAACAATAGCCTGCATTTTGCTAAGAGCTGGGGGACCCCAGTATTCTACCATCCAGCCCTCAGGTCCCAGCATCACAGTCCCCGTCTCAGAACTCAGCTGGGCAGGATGGCCTCTAGCAGCTCTGAGAAACGTCCACCAAGGAGGATGTGGGAAGGACACAGGCCTGGCCCTCCAGCTGGCATCTGCCTTCTCACTGAGACCACTCTCAGCACCGCTGGGGAAGACAGCTAAGATAGCGGCTGAGCTGCCAGAGACCAAGCTTAGAACTAGGAGATGACAGTTTCTGAGCCCACTGTGGTAACTTCTAAACCTGAAACTTCAGAAGACAGGGCCTCTGCTACTCCCAGCTAGATGCTTGGTCATATAGCACCTGTTAAGAGTCCACCATAGAACAGAAAGGGTGGGTGAAAACCGTCCTTCTCCTAAGGAAGAACAAGTCAACAATGATCGGCATATTCCCAAGTTAACAAATTATTAGGTAGGTTGGGAGCCACTACAATGAGAGTCTCCTTTTTCCCATCCCTTCTCCTGGAAGTCAGCTCTCCTGGCTTTGGAACAGAAGAGAAAGAAAAAACTGGGGCCATGTGAGTGGGTCAGAGCCCGATGAGCTTTGGTGAAACACAGAAGCAAAACTCCTGATACATTTTTGCTGCTCTCCCTCAACTAACTTTCGGAGTGAACCGTATCTGCAGTGAGGCAAGAGCCTGGTGACAGGAACGGAGGAGACAAGGAGTCTGCTCTGTTGCTGACACAGGAACACACAAGCACACACACATGCACACACATGTGCACACACACAGCACTAATGAGAGGGGGAATTCATCAATGACCTTCTGAAATACTTCTCGCAATAAGAGGAAAGAAAAGGCAGCCACAGCAAGGCAATGTATCTTCTTCTGCCTTCTCTGAAGTTTGCTCCAAAACCTGAAGGCTGACCTTGAGGAGGACCAACCTCAAGGCTGTCTGCAATACTCAGGGAGGCCTTCTGGGGGAAAGACAGGGCTCGTTAGTGTTCGGTGGTTCAGTGGTTCCTTTCAAAGTCCAGGCCACAGAGGCAGCGTGGGGCCGGGCACTGGTTCTGCCCTATTCCCCACTGATTGTAAACAACCAAGCACCACACGTAGTTGTCAGACCAGCTGCTGTAAAGATTATGAACTTAATTTAAAACTCTCTGTGTACACTGACCTCAGCTACTCATCCGCGGCAATAGAGCGGGTGTCATCCCAGCCTGATGGTGACTGAGCATTGCTAATCCTTTCACCTGGCATGGGCTGAGGCTGAAACGTACACAGCCCCACTTCATACGCCTCTCACTCAGCCACCCTTCCCTCAGCCCGGCGCACCCGCAACATTTCTGCAGTCCTTCAGTGTCTTTTCGTATGAAACCAGGCTGGTCAACAGGAGGCAAAATCCACGCCTCCTCACCGAGGTACATTTTTAGATAATCCTGATTAAAACCTTTGAGTCCTCAGCCAAGAGTGCCGAGGACCCAAGCAGACATCTCCTGGAGCGAGCTTCTTTTCAGCAGGAGAAGTTGAGTCAAAGTTTACTGAGGAAGGAGCGATTTGTACCAACCCCAAATCTAGAGACAGTCTAAAAACAAAAATCTGATTTTAAATAAGATATAAATATTTTCAGATTAGGCAACACTTCATATGTTTTAAGAGCTAAAGCAATTAAAAATACAGTACTGTGACCCACAACTAAGGAATCCAGAGAAGAGAAGCATTGCCTTAGGGGGTCACAGCAAGCCAGAGTCAAGATTAAAAACTCCAGCTTGGGGGGCCTGTTTCAAATGACCAGGTAGGTCTAGCCACCCTCTGGAGACTCGAATAGGAAGAATACTGAGATACAACATTTGGGGGAGAGATGGGAAAGAAGCCCAGCTTTATAAAGAGGGGAAGTTCCTAGTTATTTCATCTATGCTTGGCCTAGAAAAGGAGAAAACATGAGGTGGGGGACACTAAAATTGTGAAATAAAGTGAACTGTGCAGTGAGAATGAGTTAGGTGAGGTGCACCAGCAGGCAGAGGGCAGGTAGGAAGGAGGAGGCATGAGGAGGGAGACCTGGAAAGTTCTGGGTGTAAATAGATACAAGTGAGCAGTGACAACCCTGTCACTGTGGCACTTCTGCGTGTCTGCCACCCCACCTCTCACCTGCCCTCAGCCTTACCTGGCCCGGGGTACCCAAGTGCCAGGCAGAGTGGTTCCCACACAGTGACCCTGACTTTCCTCAGAGCCTGTACCATACCTGAGGCTCTGGGGACAGGTAACGGGGGACATACAGGGCACGGGTAGGCAGCTGCAGAGACGAACCAAGATCCCTATATGAAGGCACGGGTGGAATTGATGAAGATGGGAGCATTGCTTGGCTGGATCAGCTCATAGAGTGCCTCGTAGGTCCCCACCACAAAGCCCACGAAGCCCAGGATGCTGATCAGGGCGTCCTTGAAGATGGCGAGGGGGCTCATGCCCTCTGAGTAGAAGGTGGTGACCTCCAGGAGGGGTGGGATGATGAGGGCCAGGGCGCTGCTGCTCACGGAGCCCACCAGGGAAATAACCAGGTCCAGGCGGGGGATGAGGATGGCCAAGATGCCTGCAGGGAGAGAGGACATGCCTGTTTAAGATGCCCAGAGGTGGGAGAGGTCTGTCTCCCTACTATCGAGCAAATTCAGCAGCTGCCCATCTTAAAGGACTGAGAGCTCTAAGAAAACTCAGACATTATCCAGGCCAGTCTCTGCGAAATAGATGCCCAGAAATGTGGAATAACTGGCGGCCCACTGCAACGTCAGCAGAACTGGGACTGGAACCTGGATCTTCTGGCTCCGGTCCCCAGACTTTTAGCTTTTCTTGCTACAGTGCATGGCTTCCATCTTTCTTGGCAAAAGGAACCAAATTATATTTCAGAGCAATCTGGTTTCTACCAAAGAAGGGAGGGTAGGGAGCAGAAAAGGAGGTGGACATTTCTGAGCAGCTGCTCATTTTCTTACCGCTCAACACAAACATCTCGACTTAACCAACAAGAAACCAAATAGGGAAAGAAATCCCTCCTTCTTGAAAGACACCATGATCAAACCCCATTTCACAGAGCATTTTCATACAGGTGAAAAAAGGCAGTTCTGTCTGCAGGCTGACCCCTGGCAAAGCCCCACACAATGACCACGTCTCTGTGTCAGGACAACCCCAGCTCCAACACCTGAAACTCAGCCACAGGTGAGTGAGGAAGGAGGGACTGATAACCAGTGGTTCACTGCCACAGGGGTGCCATCAGCTTCCGTGCCACAGCAGCCATTGTCAACACTGCCAGACAGTGCTGTAAGCAGAAGGATTCACCAAACACACCCATCCTAATGCCCACTGACTTCACGCTTCCCATCTCACTGATCTTTCCACCAGGTGGGCAAAGATCAGTGTTTCACAATTTATTGAGGGCTGTTGGCTTTGGAACTAGGTTCTTGTGTTCAGATCCTAGCTCTGCTGATAACTAGCTGAGTGGCATTGGGGAAGTTATGGCACCTTTCCATTCCCCAGTTTTCTTGTTGGCAGAATGGGGATATTAACTGCTCCTATGTCACAGAGATGTCATAATGATCAAATGAGGTTATGCAGGTGCTTAACAGAAGGCCTGGTATACAGTAGGGATGCCTTACATGTAATGTTATCATCATTAGTATTCATTTTTTGGCAATGAAAAATACATCCTTAACCTGTCAGTAATCAAATGTAGTTTGACAGATTGTGTTTCCCACTGCTGGGCAACAGCTGGATGCTCCCAGCACTGATACAGATTTTCAGAGCTTATCTACTACCTCACTGATTCCTACGAGAGGGTTACATTGTATATGAGAGGTTTGCTTCTAAGTGTGGGGAACATTCCCGTGTGAGACCCCCAAAAGGCGTGAGTCTCACTATATGGTGAGTTTGATCCCAAACACAGTTTCCTACTGGAGGCAGTCAAGCTATCCAGAAAAAGGAACTTAAAGATGGATGATCAGTTTCTAATATCAACCACAATATCGTTTGGGCCTAAAACTATGCAGTGCTGCTAGACAGAGTGACCCCCTGCCAGCAACCCGTTCCTGCTTTTAACTTTTTTATGACTCTTTAAGAATAAGCCTTAAACCTTTTCTTTACTTACCTGACTGCCTTGTACCCTAGATAATGGTTTAACTGTCGGGATATTTGCAAAGCAAATGCCGCCATAAGGGATGGCTCTAATTCCTAACTCAGAGACTCCTGAATGGGGAAGTTGAGATAAGTTGAGTCAGGAGTGGACAAAGGAGAAACTGGTTAAAAGATATTCTGATGAGCAAAACCAGAAAACCTTTTCACATCTCAGTTCTAAAACAAGATCAAACCAGAGATACCTGCAGCCAGGAGGAATAATGTCTGGATGTAAACAAGCTTTGTGATCACAGGAAATTCTGTTACTTTTTACAACCACTGATTGTGTATCTGACTTTTCAATTGTATAGGCCACGTAAGGTATACATTTGCATTTCCTCTTGCTATGACGTAAACCAGAGCAGAAGAAAGTGTATTTATTCCTGGCCTTTGAAAAATAAAATTTGCTGTTTAGGCACAGCCTATCAGCCCTCCAGATGCCTCGTTTTCTCTCTCTCTATCTTTATTATTTCTCCAAGCGCACTCCCTCTTCCAGGTATTGGGACCCTCTTGCAGGTCGAGAGACCCCCGGCAGACGTGCCTACCCGTCCCGGACGGTCCCCGACATCTAAGTTCATTTTCTAAAGCAGAAGTGCGGTTGAGTCATTCGAAGGAAGGCGCCACACTGGTGAGATAGCCAGAACATCTCAGTCCAAGGCAGCCAATGTCTAAATCGATCACTGCTTCTTTGGCTGAGCACCAGAAGAAAGGATTGGATTGCATTTAGGGACCAGATTTAGTAAGAAACACTTTAAACTGAAATGTCTGAAGTTGATTTTTGAGGAGCCATAAAAACAAATAAAGCAGAACTGGACAAGGGCTCCAAAGCCTGAGAGCAAAGGGGCACAAGGATATGGAGTCTCAGATCCACCTCGGCCACAGTGTTGTACACTCTGGGGCAGTTCTTCATCTTTCCTTCTTCTACTAATCAACCATAATGGAGATTCTCATTAACATCTTCACTGATCTCAAGGCTCTGAGAAGTGTGCAAAAAATTTAGGCTTTTAATTTCCCTGTAACTTAAAAACAGTATGTTTTCAGCTCCTAACTGCTTCTAAACAGAGTTGGTGACATCCCCCAAACCTTGAGGGTTGAAGATGGAGAAAACTGGAGGTAAAAACTGCAGGCTGATGACAAAACAGCATTCTCATCATAGGCCATCCAACGCTCAACGAAAAGAGCCAGTCTGCTGTGGTACCAACAACCAAGACACTTGCCCTCTCTGGGGTCTGGGTCTCCCTGCCTAATGTCATCCTTGCAGTGCTTCTGCCAGGTGTTACTGTGGGGTGGAAACTGAGCCCTGGGGAGAGGATGGTATAGGAATGGGTGTAGGCTCTGGGTTTGGAATGCCCAGGCTCTGACCTCAGCTCTACCACTCAGTGGCTAGTTACCTAAACTCTTTGAGACTCATTTCCCCAACTGCTAAACAGGATGGTCAAACCATATCCCTCATGTAAAGAACTCAGAGTTCTAAAAATCAGTAATAAATGCTTCAATGTTATCACCAGTCGCTGCTCCATAACAAGCCGAGTGGTGCAGGGCAAGTCAGCTTACTCTTCTGAGCCTCAGTTCATTCATCTACCTGTGAAATGTGGTGACTAGGTGACGTCTGAAGTCTCACCCAACTCTGAAATTTTAAGGAACTGCACACGCCAGTGTTAGTCACCTAGGACTGTGTTGCAGGATATGTCCCTCGCCTTGCTGACAACCGGGAAGTGCCATGTGCTGCCTGAGGTGGCACAGCAAAGCAATGGAATGGATTCCTTTCCTGGGACACATGGCTTGCCAAAAAGGGAGCTTCTAACCCTACCGGTTTTGCATGGATAAAGAAAGTGTGAGTTATTTCTTCAGTGACAGCCACAAGAGCATCTCCACAAATGCTGAAGCCCACTCAAGAGACAGGAGGCCTTTATTATCAGAGAAAATGAGCCCTCAGCAGGAGACAAATCAGAGCCTCTCACAGCCCTGAGAGTCTGTCCTTTGCCCAGCCTCTCCCATACTGACGTGGCAGGGCGTTCGGGTCCTTCATGATAGTTAAGTGGAGTCGGAGAGACGCTCCACTCTGTGTGAGAGTTAAGTGGAAACAGAAACAGGAGCCTGAGATCAGAATTTTTCCTCTGGACAAAGATCTTTCACTTCGTCATGACATTTTATAAGTACTCTAAAAACTTGTTCTTGTTTCCACCACTACAAAAGATAAATATGCCTAATAAAAATATCCTTAATAGAGATTTTTAAGAACATTTCTCTCTTCTTAAAGCCCGGACCACAGGGCTGCAAAGGGAAGTCCCTCTTCCTGTCCTGGTTGAACCACATACTGCCACTGAATTCTACATCAGGCGTGACACTGCAGAGGGCAAGAAGAGCGAGCCTCCCACTAATGCAAAGTGGGAAGAAGAGAAGGACGTCCAAACCAAATTAGAATAAACAGCCCCCAGGGTTCAACAGCACGGGTATCTGTTTGGCCGCCATGGAAAATGACTGTAACTCCAGAGGCGGCAATCAACTACTCAGACATGAGGGGCAAATAAAACCCCTTCTGGCACTAACTGTCTTCTGTGAGTTCAAACTGCCCTATGAAGAGAAACTCAACAAGGTAGAGATGTCAGGAAGCACACAGCCAGGAATACCCCTCTCCCTACTCTCCTCTAATCCCCTGCCCTCAACACAAAAAGACCCAGCCCAGACCAAGAGGAAGACAGTGTGTTCCCCACTGCAGTTACCCACCTCTCAGCAGCAGCTCAGCTGTGGCATGTACAAAAAGGAGGCCAGAGGACAACCTGAGCTAGACCACATGATTAGTCAAGAGCGCTCCAACAGTATTACAAAACATCTTCCCTTCGGCTCAAGAGACATGAAGACTATGACCTTTTCAACTGCTGAAGCAACATACGGTCAACAGCCACGTTCACAGAAGGAACCGGATTCTGGAGCCTGTGGTTTTGAACCAGCATCAGAAAGAGCTGACTTATGCACAAGACAAGAGAAAAGCACTGAAAAGAGCATACACACACTTAGGAAATACGCTGGTCATTTACAGTTCCTGTGCTGGGAGCTCTTGCTCCTATTTTATTATGATCAAAGCTGCTCGAACCTACCATGTTACTTTTAAGTGTCTATAACTATGCCTTTAAAATTCACAAGAGTCTTGGACAGAATACAACTTTTGACTTAGTGGAGGTATACATTTAAAAAACACAAAAGCAAGCAAAACAACCTCCATGTCCAACATTAAAGGAGGACCTTAGTTAATATGATCCACCAATACAGTGGGATACCATGAGGTCACAAAAATATTAGTGAAGGATATGAATATTTGTGACATAAAAGTAAATAAAATGTGAAAGACAAAGTTATGGGTAAACTACAATTGCAACTGTTTTTACAATGCAACCATGAGGATTAAGACACAAAAGATACAATGAAAAAAAATGATTTTGTTAAATTGGTGGAATATTGGCATTTCTTCTTTTATTTCCAGATGTTTTTACATTGACTTTCTTTTTTTAGAGTAATATTTTTGTAGAAACGTAAAATTAAGCTCAAAGCAGCTGTACAGAATCACAGAATTTTGGAGCTGAGAGAAGCCTTGGAGATGAGACATCTTTCCTATCTTACAGTTGAGCACCCCGAGACCTTGTGAAAGGGTTGTACAGCTAATTAATGATGCTGTTCTTCTTCACTGTAGCTCCAAGACTAATGAGTGTAAAAGGCTCAAAGGTGCTAAGAAGCTACTGTTTGGACCTGGAAGCTTCATCCTCTAAAAATCTGACTGCTTGGTATGTTTTGAAGCTCTGCATTCCAGTCTGAACAGGCTTCTTGAGTGATGCGATTTTATGTAATTATATCTTCAGAATTAGGTTTCTGAAATCTTCATAGCAAACTGAAGTAAAATGTTTCACAAAGCAAATGCCACGGAGAATTAGTAGGAATCACTGAAGGATGGGTGATTGCTCCAAAGAAATATGAAAAGCCGTTGATCCTACAAGTCCAGACTCTGCCAGCTGGAGCCAACCTCTTCCACACAAGGTATGGATATAAGATGACCTGCTAAGATCGCATTTCCAAAAATATGGGCTGGCAGTAGACGCTGTCCGATATGAAATCATAACACAATTAACACTATTCTATGAAATACTTGTTTTCTCTGCCCCTGTTTTCCAACGGTTTGAAACTAGGCATCTACAAAGTCCGGATCAGCTATAGTAATCTTTGGAGGATGGGGGAAGAGCAGGGAGAAAGCTGAATTCTAAGAGGGGGAAAAAAAAAAATGAAGCTATACCAAATTCCTTCTGTTCCCCTTGGAGGGTGAAGAGGAGGAGGAAAAGTTGGGGAAAAGACAGGAAAACACCAGAAATCGCAATAAAAGAAGTTGCTGATAAAATTTATAAGTGGGAAAAAAATCAATTATGTTAAAGATCTAAAATCACATGCCAATCAACGGTGCTGAAACAACAGAGGCGAGACTCGCATAAATAAATTTAAGTTGCTGCTACCATGAAAGGCCTCTACTGAGTTCCACAATTACTTCAAAGTCTCTAAGGAAGGTGAGAGAGGTGAGTGCTGTCAGAGATAAAGGGAGCTGCCTTTCTGAACAGGATGACAATGCAGGGCTTAGTCACAATAGATCACGGAAGGAAAAAACGACGGCAGGCACTTGAAGATCAAAAGCAGCCATGCCTTCTGAGTGTCATGCTGTAGAAGAGAGATGAGACTCACAGACAGGGCCCAGGAAAAGTGAAGCAAAAACCAAGAGGCATCTAAGGATAGCATGAGGTCTGTGAATCAGAGGCTGCTGTCTCCTGCAGGGCGCTGCAGAAATAAGCCTGGCAGGAAGCGGGACATATGCTACAGGGAGGCTGAGCCAGGCTGGAGGGGAAAATGGGGCAGGGAGAGGAGTCAGGCTCCCAGTCACTGGCCCAGCTCGATAGGCAGAGAGGAGGAGCTGGCTAGTCAGGACAGAGCATTTTACCTGCAGAGATCTACTTTTTCTGGAGGGAACACCTTGGAAAGAAGCAAATTATTTGAACTAACCACATTCTTTCTTCCAGTACCCTTTGGATTTAAGAATTGGACCCTCAGAGTTTACATTATAAACACCGTACACGTGAAAGCTGTCTCCTCAGCACTTAGAGCTAATCCATCCAGGGTGGAAACATACACTTTGGAATGAAAGCATGGGGCATTACTGGCACAGACAGGATTAAAATCTAGAGTGCAAGTATCCCATCTTACCAGCACACATTAAGGCAATCTACTAGAAAAACAGGGTACATCATGTTCCTTCTTTTTCAGTCGCTGTGGGAACAGCAGCTGCTTTCAACAGCCATGGGCCCTGGATTAGCTGCTGCGTGGGCTGTTTCTAGAGGCTGGTCTAGGAGAGGGCTTGAAGGACTGACTCAGCGCAAATGCTAGACAACATTCCCAGCTTTCATCCTTAAAACATTCAACCCTAATGGGAATTAAAAAATCATATGGATCTATCTTTATTCCAAAGACAGAGGCTCAGACTGAATAATTTAAGAAAATCCTCAGGGAAGTCTCAATACAATAAGCAAAGAGAGTCTTGTTCCAAAAGAAGAAAACCTAAAAAAAAACAAAAAAAAGCCACATAGAGCCAAAAAGAGAAATCTATGCCTTAAGCATTTCAATTTGGAAAACATTGCAAATCTCCTAGAAATTTAAATTAGCTATTAAAGACCGACTTGTTCAGGGGTTCTCTAGACTACCAACTCACAGAAGCTACAAAAAAAAAATTTACTTTTATTTTCTAAATGTCACCAGTTTTCAACCATAGCAAACAGAACGATATCCTGTCTTTTAACTTAACACTCCTTGGCACGGGGTTGGGAAAAGAAGAATAAAACACAAGCGATCAATCAAACACCTAGGTTAATCAACAGAAATTTTCTGAAACATATTTAGTAAGACTGACATTAAAAACTGTCTAGAATAGTGTCATACAGGCTCTAAAGGAAATCTAAGGAGTAACTTGTCACACTGGAGAAACTATTTGAAAAAGCAAGTAAGTACGCTTCATCAAAGTAACTTATACTCATTATAGATGTGGGTTAAATGGCTTTCGGGCCTTTACCTTATTTAATGTGGGACAGTAATTGTATGATAACCTTCCTCTGAATGATAACCATCTCCACAGCATTTCATACTCTATCTATAAATAAACCACTGTCCTCATTCCCCTGTTCTTTATGGTACATATATAATTAATTCTCTTCCCCATCTGGAGGTACCTCAACTCTGCAAGTGAGGCCATGGGTCAGGTTTTCTGCTCACAAACATAGGCAGCTTCACTACAACACATCCTGTCTTTTCTCATGCAAGCCCTGGAGACCGGGTGCCCTTTAGGGAAAAATAAGCCAGGTTAATTATCACCTTCTACTCACATGTCAGGCAGACCAGCACCGTGCGCACAAACAGGTCCACCGCTAACTCGCAGTGCTCTGGAGCTCGGGACACAAAGAAGGGGATGATGATCTCGGCCGGGACATAGAACTGGAGCGCGTAGGTGAAAAAGATCCCAATGGAGTACAGCAGCTTAACCGACTGGTACAACCTGCCCGGACAGACAGGAGACATTCGAAGCCTGCTCAGCACACTTGTACATAATCAGCGAGAGTGCAATATGGTCCCACTGCAATTTGTTGACACTTCTCAAGGCTACAAACCCACACATCCTTCGGACCCAGCAATCTCAACTTCATCTCACAGATATCCTCACACAAGTACACAAAAGCTTACATTCAAAATATCTAACTGCAGCATTATTTAAGAAGGAAAGACTGAAAACAATTTAAATATTAACCAGTAAGAACTGGTCAGATAAATCATGGTGCCCCCATATAGTTCTTAACAAAGTAGGAGGCAGAACTCTAGGTGTGATACAAAACGATCCCCATGATATATCACTATATCACTTGACATAGTATATCACCATCATGGGGACAGTTTTATGTCACTTTTTTTTTAAAGTGAAAAAAAGCATGAAGCAATACAGTATCTATAGAGTGCTACAATTTGTCTTAAAAAAGGAAAAAGATGAGGAAAGACACATTCTCACCCCACAGGGAAATCTTACATACACTAAACATCTCAGAAAAAAAAAAGAAACTGGGAATATGGTTGTCTCTGAAATGGGAAATTGTAAAATTGGGAACTAGAGTGGAGGGTGATGGGTGGAAACTTAAATGTTCTCTGTATACTTTTTGAAAATCTGAATCTTTGCCATGGGCATATGGGTGCATATGCCTTCAAAAACAAAAACAAAAAATGCAATTAAAGTGTAACAAGCCTATTTATATTGGTCCCATCCAAGTCAGTGTCCCTAGAATTAGATGAAGACTTTGCAGGACCAAGAGGCAGGAGCAAGAATTCCATCTTTCCATACCACTACAGCTATCTTCCTACTACTGCTTCATGTGTAGCTTCCAAAAAAGACGTAACTCACTAGAGGATATCCCTATTTTATCACTCCAGTGCTCTGACTGAACAGAGTAGGAAAAAAGTCTGTGATCAACTTACAGAATTGACTTGGTCACTGAAAGGAAAGGTCTCTGTCCCTAAGCAAAGCTCCACTTTAAACCAGACCCTCGTGCGTTAAGCAGCAAGAAACATTTGTCCTCACTTGCTAGAAATCTATTTAAATGTGGTAATACAGAATGTGTATATGTGCATTGAGTTTCTCCGTGGTTGAACTGAAAACCTAGAAGTTGTTATTTATGCTATAAGCAAGAGAAAAACCTTGTAAAGACTGAGTTTGGAAAAAGGTTATACTTGCTCCATGAATAGATAATAAAAAACTCTTTGGAAAAATCATCTGGTGGCTCTATCATTAAACTCAAAGCAGCCCAAAGCCTCTGGAGAGCTGTGAAGCCTGGACTCAGGAGAGTGCACCTGCAGGGACAGTCAAATAAATTATACCCAAAGGGAAGCAGAAAGCGTAGAGCAGCTGGGTTTGGGGTGTTGGAAAGAAGACAGATGCTCCTCTATGGCTTCAGATCATGTGGGCTGCTTCTGCTGCGCCCGATCCATTTCTCTTCCAGGGAAAGGTGACACGGTTACACCAAGCTATCACCTGCCTCTTACTTCTTAGAAGGGCAGAAACATTTGGAAATTTACAAGTAGGCACCGGATGGATATGCCAATTACCATGATTTGATAATTACACATTATAATATGTATGTCACACACACCACATACATACATATGATTAGTATGCCTTACGAGTTAAAACGAACTTAAAAATAATTTCAAAAAATAAAAAGCGAATCCAGGCCTATAGCCACACCATTCTGAATCTTGGAAGGTAATCCCATCTGATCTTGGAAGGTAAGCAGTGTCAAGCTTGGTTCATACTTGAATGGGAAACCCCCTGGAAATACTGAGTGCTGTTGGCTTAAAAAACATAATAAAATAAACAATATAAAACAAAATAAAAAGCACACCCAGGCAGATCAGCCAGCGAATAAAAGGTGATTCAGGGGTGCTCAACAAGCTTCTCAGTGTCTGCTAACAGCTGCTCTCCACAATGAGATGATTAATCTTCAAAACAGAATGGTTGCTTAGCACATGCCCTGGGACACCTACCTTTTTAGGAAGCATTTCAATATGGCTCACTCTTTCTCTATAATACATTCACCAATGCAAGAGAGGTAAGAAAGGACTCCCAACAATCCCCAGCCCACAGTGAGATGCTCTCACCTGCGTATCGAACCTGTGACTACCAAGGGAGAGGCACAACAGATGCTGGGAACCAAATCCAGGTCTGCCCGCCCATCTCCCTGTCCATTTGGAATGGTTTACAGTGAACGGACTGGATACTCAGTCCTTCTGGGCTTAGGAATTCCAAGGAGAAATGGCTTATCCATTGGCTGATCAGCCAATGGCTTCAGCAGAAGGCTCTGCATGAATTACCCAAATAGAATGAAGTCCAGGGCAGCCAGTGAGGGCCAGTAGTGGCAGGGGATGGTGGGCTAGAGTGAAGTTTAAGGGACAAGTAAGAGGAAGAATCCACACTCTGCCCCTTTAGTTTTTTAAATATCCAGGACTCCTAGGTTTTCATCCTCCCTGACATACCAGCAGTTGGGCAGGTTGAGGGTTATGCTGCCTTGGATATTAGCTCCAAACTGCAGGTACCCCAGACACCCCAGGCTGATGTAGAGGATGGTGACGATGGCCATGCCCAGGTATAGGATAAGTGGGAACTTTCGAGGATCCTTCATTTTGTTTTCCAGGGGCAGAACCTATGAGAGAGTAGTGACAGAGAGGCAGAAAAAAAACAGTTAATGGCCAAGAAAAAAAAAAAAAAATCCTCAGAAAAAAAGTAACTCTTTTATTCCCAGAATTCTCCAGAAGCACATATGCTCTATAAAGAAAGTTATTTCATCAGACATTATACTCTTGGGACTAGAAGGGACTCACAGCTCCCTTCCTGGCCTGGAAGTCCTAAAAGTAAGGGCAGGCAGGGCAAGTGCCCAGGACTCTTGGATCAAGCCAGTGCTCTGTCCTCCTGCTCCAGCATCCCTGCAGGCTGAGAATGTTCCTTGCTCTATGAGTTAGGCCACGTGGCAACCAGAAGGCCCTCTCACGTCATGCCCACCTGGCAGCTAACTGAGATTATAGCTTCCTGCTAACCTGTCTAAAGAATGCAAAATATAGGTCAGGAAAAACTGCCACTCTAGCTCAATAGGGGCAAGCATGAGCAGTGACAAGTCAAACCTCCACATTAGAGAAACTGCAGTGCAATGACAGAGGATCTTCAGACTTGGGTACTTAGCAATGCCCAGTTTCCAGACTCCTCTTAAAAACCACTGACCTTTGCTGCCTCCTTTGTCATAACATAGGACATTCTTTAACTTTCGGAGAAGCAAAGGAAAGACACCTTATGAAAATGAGTTTATTTAGGAATTGGGAAAACAGCAGGTATGACCTGAGGATCTTCACAGTGTGCCATCAACTGGAGAGCAACACTGGGCAATGTCTAGCTGTGCCACAAACTTTGATCTTGTCATTACACTTATTTTCCTGCAGTGTCTGTGGCCACGAGGTACAATAGGTCTGTGCTGCACACATCAACACCACGATCCTGCTGCAGGCCTGGTGTACCCAGGGGCCCCGAGTGTCTCCCACCACCTGCTCCAGCTTCGATTAATCCACATCCATTAGAAACAGCTTCTAAATGTATCTGTCAGTTTCCTTCATACCAAGAGTACAAAGAGCCAGAGTGCAGGGAACCCATCTCCTCCATGTCCTATAGGGCCCGTGACAGCTGCATGAACACAGAGCACACGGTGAATACAGAGTGTGCAGCCTGGCACTTCACCTGGATGCAAATGAACAAGCCCTAGATCCAAAACTAAGAGTCAATCTAGCAGTCTTCTCTTTAAAAACGTAGAAATACAAAGAAATCTTGATAATGTTTGCAGAATAAGTTTAGGTACAAGTCTTGGCTACTTGGCTAATGAAACCAAGCAAACAACTTCTGCACTGTGCTGTTGGGGGAAGCTACTAAAAACTTAGTACAAAGTCCCTTAGGAACCCAAAGTCTCTAGGCATCTTTCCACACTTTCTCAGACTCTTCTTTCAAGTTCTGAGATCGTGGGATCTCTTTCACACTGCTGAAATATAGGCCCACTCAGGCCTCTTCCCCAGCAGCAGGAAACCATTTGTGTTTCTAAATTAAAGTAAGACAGTCTTCACGGGCAATGAGAGACCCCAAGAAAGAGCACAGGGCAAGGTATAAAACCTCAGATCAGTGATTTACATGTGGTCACTCCCAAAGCCTCCCCCATGATGTCAGAGCCGCAGTGTATTTCATCAGCACCACCTGGGTGATTCCTCATGATGTTGACAAAACAATCTATACAGCTTCTAGGTTTTCTTAAAAGTAGATTACGTGTCTGGGAAGTCGAAAAAGAGAAAGAAGTGCCATGACAGGAGGAGAGTCTTCCCATCTGCAGAGCCCTTGGCCAGGAATGAAAACCTTTCTTCAGAGAAGAGTTCTGTACCATTATTATGAAAAATGCAAATAAAATTCAACTTAGTTAAGATGGAGGAGTAGATGCCTCTTTAGGAAAAGCATTTGGTGAAATCACAGGATGCTAATCCCAGAATGAAGGCTGTTCTTTTACATGCAGAAAATACATCAAACCAATGTTTTAGGGCAGAGAAATTATTCATACATTTATTGATTCAATAAAAAATCAATAATATTATTAATAAAATGAAAATCTATTAAATATTTACCATGTGTCAGGGTCTGCACAAAGCACTTTGCATATATCTCATTTAATCCTAACGACTATGAATCACTAAGCTCACTTTTCAGGAACAATGAAGGCTCGAAGAGGTGAGGCCCTTGCTTGAGGTCACACAGCTACTCTGCGGCAGAGCCAGGACTTAGCCCCAAGTTAGTCTGACTCTAGACCCTGCCTTTCTGATTGCCATGTACTGTTGCTTACTGCACACATAGGAGATGAGTGTGCAATGAAGGGGCCTTGAATGTAAACATTTTTCAATTATACATATATAATTTATCTTGAAAAGTTGGAGCTGGGAAATCTCAATGGAATCCCTGAAACACTATTCACTAACTGACTAGTGAGTCACAGAAGATAATTTCTTTCTTTCTTTCTTTTTTTTTTTGAGACAGAGTCTCACTCTGTCATCCAGGCTGGAGTGCAGTGGCATGACCTTGGCTCACTGCAACCTCCGCCTCCCGGGTTCAAGTGATTTGCCTGCCTCAGCCTCTTGAGTGGCTTGGATTACGGGCCCTTGCCACCATGCCCGGCTAATTTTTGTATATTTAGTAGAGACAGGATTTCACCATGTTAGCCAGGCTGGTCTTGAACTCCTGACCACAAGGGATCTATTGGCCTCAGCCTCCCAAAGTGCTGAAATTACAGGCTTGAGCTACCATGCCTGGCCTCAGAAGATAATTTCTAACAATGTCTCCTCAGCATTCCTTGAAACAGATCTGGAGGACACCGAAGGCACTAGAGAACACTGGCCCACATCACGGTGCAGCTCTTACCATTCCAATGCCTTCGAATGCAAAAATGGCTGTGCCAAAGAAGAGAGGGTAGGTCTTCCAGGGGGCCACCAAGGGGAGGTTGCTGGGGTCTGGGATCCTCTGAAACAGACAAAGCAAAACGAAGCAAACTATTATACAGAAATTAGAGATTTGAACTCTGAATCTGAGAGGTCATACTTTTTAACAAATCCAAGATTCTCTTAAGGAGGAAAGTCTAATACCTGACAGACGATTTAGGGATATTTAACCTTTGCATGTTTTTCTCTTCAGAAAACCCCACTTGTTTGCGGGGAAAGACAAGCCCAAGATACTATTAATAACTCAAATGTTGGGGCTTGCATAAAAAGAGTCACATTCTTTCAGTAGGTAATCCCATCCTCAGAAACTGAATTCAACTAGAAAAAAAGTCAAAAGATGAAAAATATTGAGTAAAGCTATTTAATAAAGAAACCGAAAACAACATAAATGTTCCCAAACAAGGGAACAGTTAAGTAATTAACAACATACCAGCTAAACCACAGAATATATACTTTATTTATTTATTTATTTATTTATTTATTTATTTAGAGACAGAGTCTCCTTCCGTTGTCCAGGCTGTAGTGCAGTGGTGAGATCTCTGCTCAGTGCAACCTCTGCCTCCTGGGTTCAAGCAATTCTTCGTGCTTCAGCCTCCTGAGTGGCTAGGACTACAGGTGTACGCCACCACAGCTGGCTAATTTTTGTATATTTTTGGTAGAGACAGGGTTTCACCATGTTGGTCAAGCTATCTGTGAACTCTTGATCTCAAGAGATCCGCCTGCCTCAGCCTCCCAAAGTGCTGGGATTACAGGTGTGAGCCACCGCACCTGGCCAGTATGCACTATTAAAAAGTAAAATTGAGATAACTAGGTAGAACATAAAAATCTACTTATGAAATATTAATGAGAAAACATTTTTAATTTGAATTTATATATTCACTCTGATACAACTACATAAACAACGATAAAGCTGGAAGGAAAGAGAAAGTAATAAATTTTTAGATTGGTTATCTTCCTTTTTCCTCTTCTTTTCTTCTCCTTTTTAAAATTCTTATCAATCAGCTTAAGCCCTTTGAAAGTATTACCAAGAAGTACACAACACAAGTGTTGGAACATGTGGAGAGAAACAGCAAAAAGAATGTTTTCAAAAATAGGCCAAAAAAAAAGGGCAATTGTTAACTGCAGGAACAATGCTAATGTTGTATAAGGAATGAAGTTGTGATGGTTAATACCGAGAGTCAACTTGACTGGACTGAAGGATGCAGAGTATTGTTCCTGGTGTGTCTGTGAGGGTGTTGCCAAAGGAGATTAACATTTGAGTCAATGGACTGGGAAAGGCAGACCCACCCTTAATCTGGATGGGCACCATCTAATCAGCTGCCAGCTCAGCCAATGGCCAGATTAAAAAGCAGGCAGAAGAATGTGGAAAGGCTAGACGGGCTTAGCCTCCCAGCCTACATCTTTCTCTTGTGCTGGATGCTTCCTGCCCTTGAACATTGAACTCCAAGTTCTTTAGCTTTGGGACTCAGACTGGCTTCCTTGCTCCTCAGCTTGCACACGGCCTATTGTGGGACCTTGTAACTATGTGAGTTAATACTCCAATAAATTTCCCTGTATATGTACATATACCCTATCAGTTCTGTCCCTCTAGAGAACCCTGACTAACAGAAGTATAGTCACAAAATCCTCCACCAAACAACAGCCTCCAGTACCAGACAAAGTGGAAGGAGCAGGGTGGGGAGGAGGGGATTCAAAGCTGCTGTCCTTTTAAAATTCGGCTTTTTAAACCACGTGCATATGTTGCTTCGATTAAAATAAAAATTGATGTTAAAACAGCCTTTTACAATGTTTTAAAATTGAGTTAACTATCTGGATATTTAGATAATATGAGGCATGCTCTCAATGGGTTTTTTTTTTTTTTTTTTTTGAGACGGAGTTTGCTCTTGTTACCCAGGCTGGAGTGCAATGGCGCGATCTCGGCTCACCACAACCTCCGCCTCCTGAGTTCAGGCAATTCTCCTGCCTCAACCTCCTGAGTAGCTGGGATTACAGGCACATGCCACCGTGCGCAGCTAATTTTTTTGTATTTTTAGTAGAGACGGGGTTTCGCCATGTTGACCAGGATGGTCTCGATCTCTTGACCTCGTGATCCACCTGCCTCGGCCTCCCAAAGTACTGGGATTACAGGCTTGAGCCACCGCGCCCGGCCTTCTCAACGGGTTTCTAAAAGGAGGTCCATTATTAATCTCTGTAACAGACTTCTCTTTGAAAGATTTCAAAGCAGCAATACTGCTTTTGAAAAAATAAAAAATTAAATAAATACGTTTCCCTGTGCCCCTGCTAAGAAATCCGTTAGAGCTCTTTGTAAGAAGCATTTCAATACCTGGAATGGAGACAGACTAATAGGTATTTTTGCTCTACAATGGGACTGGAGAGCAAGACTGCCCTGTAATTATTCCTGAGTCACAAATGTAACATAAGTTATTGGAAATAGGTGCTACCTGTTGGTTAGTGAGTGACTCCTGCTCTTATTCATACATCAGAGCAGATTCAAGTATTAGACAGGGAATTACACAATCCATGTCTGCGGATATTGTGGGAATGAGGCCAGCAGTAGTATATTCTACATACTTACTGATTGCTACTGACCTGACCAACTAAATGATAAAAGTTTAATTTATAAAGAAACATACATGTTTCTTTAAAATCAGCTCATTATCAACATATCTCCACAATTCTACAACACAGTAAGTCCTCCATTGTTATCAATAGGTTCTTGGAAACTGAGACTTTAAGTGAAATAATGTACAGTCATTTCCTTCAACATTTTGTTACAACATTGATGAAGAAAAAACTGATTTTGCTATACATCATTTCACATAGCTGTAGTTTCTAAGAACGTATCAATGATGTTAAGTGAGGCCTTACCATATTATCAATTATAATAATAACAGTTGAGAAAATGCGGTTAAATGTACACATGGATTATGAGATGTGCTTTTGCAATTCTGAAACTGTTATAACTAGGAAAAAATACATATCCGAAGCAAGGCTATGCAGTGATAAAACATTTATTGGGAGCCCCCTCTGTGCAAGGCACTCTGCCCAGAACTGTTCCATTTGACTCTTCGCATCCTAAGACAGAGGGGTGGAAGACCTTGTTCTGCTACCTACAATGGCACGTACATGAGGGGCAAGAGGAGCAGTCATATGCATGCTTAGGATGAGGGAAAAATTCAGAAACATCCAACAGTAGGGGAATCCTCATAGTAAGTGGGGCAAAATGTCAAAACAGAACAGTAGTAACAAGCAGCAGAGGCAGAAGCAACAAAAATGACCTAGAGAGAGCATCTTTAGCCGTATGGCACATCCAAATGAAGCACTGACAACACTATGGGCAGTGACTACGCCAAAACACAGCCAAACCCCCTCCCCCATGCCGCACTCCGGGCAGATGGCACTACTTGGGCAGATGGCACTACTTGACCATAGCACAACTTCTGGCTAAATCCAGAGAAAGACCTGGGGTTGTTCTCAAGAAATCAGCAGGGCTTCTTCTTTGAAGACATTGCTCTGTGTGCTGATTGTACTAGGCACTGACATCACTCTGGAAGGATACTACCAGTTGGTTGGGACTGAGACACTGCAAGAACCCAAATTCTTATCCCAGACCTATGATCATAGAAACCACCACAGCCCAACTACCTGCAATGACTTAAAACTAAATGCAGCAGGTGTGCCTGTCTGTGGGGAGCGGCCTCACTCAATTCATCTTTAATGTCTACTGGAGTGTATCCTAGGTGCACTTAAGAGCTCTAATTACAACTTGAAATCATGGGTAAATATTTACCCTTCCTTGTCTGGTAACGGAAATGGTCTATCGTGCATTCACAGGTCCTCCTTCCAGTCTCATAAAAAATGGATGTGAAGAACTATTTTATTTATTTATTTGACGCACTCTTACTCTGTTCCCCAGACTGGAGTGCAGTGGTGTGATCTCGGCTAACTGCAAACTCTACCTCCTGGGTTCAACCAAATCTCCTGCCTCAGCCTCCTGAGTAGCTGGGGTTACAGATGTGCATCACCACACCCAGCTAATTTTTGTATTTTTAGTAGAGATGGAGTTTCACCATATTGGTCAGGTTGGTCTCGAACTCCTGACCCCATGATCCACCTACCTTGGCCTCCCAAAGTGCTGGGATTACAGGCGAGAGCCACCATGCCCAGCCAGAATTACTTATTTTATGTTTAAACAAATAGTTCTGCAGAAGATTCAATATCTGCCACTTATCTGATTTACTGTGATGAAAAAACAGTCAATACTCACAGAGGACGATGCTAATCTAAACTGATAATGTCATTTGCTTAGCACAAGAAGTCCTGCATTTTATGAGCCACTGTTTTCCTGGAAACTACATCAGTGAGTAACTAGGTCACTGTTAAGCAGACTGTATGAAAATGAGATAATATTTGCCTGTCAGACTGACTGAAATGAAAAAGACGGACACATCCAGTATTGGTAAGGGTGGAAAAATGGGCACTTAAATACTGTGGAAGGGAGTCTCTGTGAAATTAGAAACAGCTTTTACAAAAAACAACTTGGCAATATAAAAAAATTCAAAAGTGCACACTCTTCAGCAATTACACATCTAGACAAATATCTTTAAAAAGTATTTATACAGGTCCGCAAAAAGGACTGTATAAGAACATCTCACTGTCTTAATACTGAAATCATACTAAAAATTATCAATGACCTGATAGTCACTGAGTGGGGACTGGTAAATAAAGCGCAGCAAATCTCTTCTCTGTGATACAATGTGACAACTAACAACAAGGTAGAGCCAGGAATAGCAACCTGGAAGGCTGGCGAAGGCATTTGTAAGGGTGGGGGAAGAAGCAAGGTAGATGAAAATGTAACTTGGTAAAAAATTATGTTTCACAAATAAAAACAAAATGTACTTTAACATATTTCTCTATATACTTAGGGAGGGTGCAAATACATTCACACCATCTAGAATGAGGCAGATCAATCACACAGAATGGGTCCCTAAGAGGAGACTTGGGGTGGGGACTTGGTATTCAAGAGGTATTTGTGTTGTCTGTGATTTAATGAATATGTACTGATGAATTATTTGGGAAATTGAATTAAAATATCTTTTTTTTTTTTGAGACGGAGTTTCGCTCTTGTTACCCAGGCTGGAGTGCAATGGCGCGATCTTGGCTCACCGCAATCTCCGCCTCCTGGGTTCAGGCAATTCTCCTGCCTCAGCCTCCTGAGTAGCTAGGATTACAGGCACGTGCCACCAGGCCCAGCTAATTTTTTGTATTTTTAGTAGAGACGGGGTTTCACCATGTTGACCAGGATGTTTTTTAAAGATACGCTTTTATTTACCTGCTTTTACTTCTTTTCCTTTTCTCAAGCCTTAGAAAATCCATTGTCATTTTCACAAACGGCCATAGTGGTTAAGGGCATATTTTTCTCAGCCTGATCTTCTACCCATCTGTATACAGATGTTCTCTCTCGTGCCACCCCATAGACCTGTCTGCCCACAGACCTGTCTGCATGGGCTGAGTGAGGGCAGGGAACAAGTGGATTTATAATTTTGACAAATACAAATTAACTGGAGTTGATAAGGTGTTACTTATCTACAGGTTAGAAAATTTAGTTTTTATTTCGATCTTAATATTTTTCTCTATTTTACAATTGTATAAAATGATCATGACTTAACCATGGAATTGAAAAAGGTCTAAACCAGTGATCCCTGTGGGGGCCGATTTGACCCCCCAGGGAGGTCTAGCAATGTTAGGAGACACTTTTGGTTGTCATCACTCGTGGAGGGGGTGCTACTGTCACCCACTGAGGAGACCAGAGATGCTGCAAAACATCCTATAATGCACAGGACAACCCTACAGCAAAGAATTATCCACCCAAAAACGTCAACAGTGTCCAAGATAAGAACCTCTAACCTAAACATACCAGCAGTAACATATAATTATGTTCCACTTACTTGTTATATATATATATATATATATATATATATATATATATATATATAATTTTTTTTTTTTTTTTTTTTGAGACAGAGTCTTGCTCTGTTGCCCAGGCTGGAGTGCAGTAGGGTGATCTCAGCTCACTGCAACCTCTCCCTCCCGAGTTCAAGCCATTCTCCTGCCTCAGCCTCCCGAATAGCTGAGATTACAGGTGCACGCCACCACACCTAATTTTTGTATTTCTAGTAGTAGAGACAGGTTTCACCGTGATGGACAGGCTGGTCTTGAACTCCTGACCTCAGGTCATCCACCCACCCCGATCACCCAAAGCGCTGGGATTACAGGCGTGGGCCACTGCGCCTAGCCTTTTTAAATATTGAAGCAAGGCAACAGGGAGGGCCTAGGCATGTACCTGAACAATGAACTGGTAGATCATGATCAAGCTGACCAGCATGGAGATGTTGGCCAACAGGGAGAAGACTGACAGGGCTCGGAGGCTCCTGACGAAAACCAGCAGCACCAGGAAGGGCAGGAAAGAGAGCATGTAGAGTCGCGAGTCCATGGTGGGGGTGAGAATTACCGTCTCATTGTTGTGGCAGTTATTGGTAGTCCCGTTGGCCGCTTCTACCACCTAGAATGACAGGAAGGAAGAAAACGGGAACACGTCTCAAACAACAAAGGCCGGCAGATCCTCTGCTGGGAGAGGTTCCTGAGGCTCCTGTTCAGGTGTGTGAACAGGGCCTTTTAGGATCTGTGTCCAGTGAGCCTTCTTTAGAGATCTTCATGACTATCATCAGCAACCCAATTGTCTGAGCTAGGTTTGAACACTGGTACCTAGGACAGGAGGATGGATAAGACATGTGGATGTTTCTCTATGCCCTAGCTCTTTTCCGTGAGAATCAAACAGAAGATGTGGTTCTATGTAAAGTGTTAAAACTTTAACGTTTTTGTTGACAAAAGCTGGTTTGGAAAAAATCCTAAACAAAAATTTCAGTCATCTTTTGCCATTCTCTCTCCCGTTTTTTTTTGGTTTGTTTTTCTTTCTTTTCTTTTCTTTTTTTTTTTTTTTTTTTTTTTAACCAGATGCCTACCTGTTTAAAGTTCTCAGCCAGAAACACAAAATAGACACAGCAAAATCCCAGCTGAGTGACAATCAGGAAGAAGTCCACAACATGTCTGGAGATGGGGAGGGAAGGAATACAAAGACTGTTACAACACAAACGCAAGACTCCCAGAAGGGGAGGTGTCTTTTTTTGTTGTTTTTTGTTTTTTTAAATAGATTTGGGGGGTACAAGTGCAGTTTTGTGAAATGGATATGTTGCGTAGTGATACAGTCTGGGCTTTTAGTGTAACCATCAGCCAAACAGTGTACACTGTACCCATTTTTTTTTTAACAGTGCTTTCCCCAAGCCATCACAGACCCTTCCCAGCAGGTGACAAGGATGAGCATGCCCTGGTAGGAGAAGAATCCATGCTAGGTGCCACCAGTCTGGGGCTTTGGGAAGAAGGTGTGTGAAGTGCTAGCTGCATGGTTTCTGAGGTCCCCTTCCTGGCTTCTCATCTGGAATGCTACATGAGATCAGACACATGCACAGATACCATGACCCTTAGCCTCCTCTCTACACATCTGCCCACCTAGCCCATCTCACATTTTTTTGCTAAAGTTACAGGGAGCCCTTGACATAAAAGGCCAGGAAGTAGTCCCCTTCACTGTCTCTATAACTTGGATACAAGAGTCAGCCAAGTCCCACATTAAGGACACAGAAACTGATATACCAAAAACAGACGGCTAGTGGTACAAAAGCAGCTGGTAACAACCTAGAGTTTCATCAAAAGGAAAGTGATTAAACCGTAGACCATTCTTAAATGAAACATTACACAGCAGTTAAAAAGAATGTGTTAAATCTGTATGTGCTGATGGAGAAAAACATCTCAGACATTTAAGGGGAAAAAGCAAGTTTCCAAACAGTATACATAGTATATTCAATCCGTGCCAAAAACTTTAAGAACATGTGTATGTTTCTATTTATACAGCAAATTCCAAAAGGCTACCCATGCAACTGTGACCAAAATTTTTTTACTTTTTACTTTATGTCCTAACTTAATCCAGAAAAGTTTTTACCATGAGCACACATTAAAATGGCACACATTTTATTAAAAGAAGGAAGGAAAGGAGGGAAGGAGGGAGGAAGGAAGCAGTAAGAAAAGAAAGGAATGAAGAATTAACAACCAATCATCTCATGGTGGTCACTTGACAATCTGGCTCCTCCCACTCACAGAAGATAATTTGGCCAAAAGAACCATATAATTTGCATCACAGGATAAAGGTGACTATGAATGAAGGTAAGCTTCCCGTAGGACCACAAAAAGGGAATTTTCTAGAGAACATAGTTTTAATATGGTTTGGTTTTTTTAATTAAAAAAAAGAATTTTTAGCCCTTGATATCAATTTTCTACATTTAAATATAGAAAACAAAAATATATTTCCCTTCAAACAACTAAGAGTTACCTTACGAAGAAATCTGCAAACACTTCCCACCTCCAAACTCATCTCCACATCCACTTCTCGTTCACTTCACCTTCTCCTGAAGCCTTTTTTGCTCCCAGCTCTCATGTGTGTTTCTCATCTGGCACAGCCGACAGGAGAATCTTTAAAGTTCCACCGTCTCCGAGCACTGAGGATGTACTCCTAGCTCATGACACTTTCTTCTTATGGGTGTCTCCTGCTATTGGTCTCTTATCTTGTTCTCTGGCTTCTCTTCCCATATATCTTTTTACTTACACAGACTACAGAAGCCCTTGGAGGGCAGGAACCACATAATTTACTTCAGGAAATCTCCCCTTCTTACCTAGAACTCTTGTTCCATTTATAAGACAGTGCTTAAATACAGTTGTTGAGCAAATGAGTGAATCAAAAACAATCACTGGTCATAGACTGCCAAAGCTGGAATGGCTCTAGAGATCATTCAGGCCAGGTCCTGTGCTTTCCTGATGAAACTGAAGCCCCCAGAAAAAAAGGGGTTACCCAGCCCCAGGTCACACAGCTTACAACCAGCGGAGCTGAGCCAGAGCCCAAGGCAACTGACCCAAACAGCAAACAGCACTCTTTCCACACTTTACACTGTCTCCCACATTACACCTCCCCATCTGAAGGCCTCACACTGGGAGGCCACTATTGAAAGGAAGGAGGAAATCAGTTACCTTCCCCAGTGTGCGTGGTTCCGGAGCCAGGAGCAGGGACTGGATTCCAACCCATACATCACAGTTTCGCCATAATCCACAAAGGATTTATTCAGCCTGGAAGAGGAGGAGGGAAGAAGAAGGGCAGAATATGTGGATTAGACAATGACACTGACCGAACAAATGGAGCCACTGAGATCTGAGCCAGTCCCCATCTGTCACCCTGGAGATACCACTCTGAGTCTTGTATCTCATGCTTTCAAAGATCAGAAGTATTAAGTCGACAGGATGGTACTTTTATCATAATTAGCCACCATCTGGTAGAATCATTTCAATGGGGTAAACATTACAAAGCACCTGAAATTAGAATGTAGTGTCTATTTACTGCGCATAGGTAAATTTAACAGATGATAATGAGCCAGAAAAGAACACAAAAATACCCAGGGAAAGGAAACGCTGCAATCTTAAGCAGCTACCTCCAGCCAATGTGAAGAACTGAGAATGGTCTGCATCAGTGCTCATTTTCAGGGTTGATAACAGAACCCAAAAAGACAATTTATCACTTGAGAGGTGGCTCAGACGGCTCTCACCTGCGGCAGAAGTGGTGAGCACATTTCACCAGGATACCCATGCAGTGCACAGCTATGATGCCTATGACCAGCAGGCTGACGGGACCCATCTGGGGACAGGTGTTGCAGGCAACAGAGAGAGAGAGAGAGACAAGCAGGTAGAATTATGAGTGAATCCAATGGATACTTGGTTTGCAAATGATTAAAAAGCTACTAAGGCACTTTTCAGTGATAAGGCACTTTGGGCCCAGCATTAGAGAGAGAAATGTGATCATGGAGATTAGCTCTGTGACATGGGTGCTATCTGAACTTTCAAGAGATTTAGTCATGTGGAGAAGAAGGACATAAGATAAGTCTATTCTGAGACTGGGGCAAGTCAGTAGAATAGAAGGCTCCCTTGACTATGGGAAGAAGAGATGGGCTAAGGGATGTGCGGGGAGAGGGGTAAATTATCTTTACAGCATTGCCAGATCAAGAAGACTGCACTTAGCTAAAGGCAACCCACACCTCTGAGCCTCTCTTCAACTCCAAAAGAAACAGAATGGCTTTGGGCAAGCAGTCAACAGGAAGTGAACCATAAAAAGAAGACCTAAGATTCTTGGAGTTGACCATTTAGGAACAGGGCACGGGGGACCGTGTAGAAAATGGGCAGATATCTGTAACTAACTCACTAGTTCATATTATTGACAGAAACTGCATGAGCCAACTCAGTACATCCTCTCCACCAAGAAGTAAGCTCCATGAGGGCAGGAATCTTTCTTGAATTCACTGATGTATTCTAAGAGCCTAGAAAGGTGCCTAACACACAGAACACTCTCAATAAATATCTTTAGGTGAATGAATGTCTGAATTTTGCTTTTTGTCAACTGATTTTTAAAAAATCCTTCTCTATTTAAAATGTTTTAAAGCAAGGACATTTTAACAACAAAGAACTACCTCTTAAAATTTGTCACTACTCCCCTCCACTGATGCAGACCCTTACCACGATGCCTGCATTTTTCACTGCCAGAGGTAGCCCCAGGAGTCCTGTGCCAATGTTGCCTTTTAACAGGTGGATCAAGGTCTGGAACCATCTGAAGTGAAAGACAGACAAGAAAAGGATAATCATTACAGTTAACTTTTACTAAGCTCTTAGTGCTCACATGCATTATCTCATTTTATTTCTACAATAACCCTGTAAGATTTTATTTCATGGATGAAAAAGTGGTTTGCTCAAGGTCACATACCTAGTAAAGGGCTGACGCAGGACTCAAATCTGGGCAGTCTGACTCCAGAGCTCCCTCTCTTATCCCCTGTGCTGTAAGTCCCCATTCTTTGTAGCATTTCTGAAAACTCCTTCTCTCAGAGATTAGATCAGAGAGGTGCTCTGACTCTCTCCAGACACACTATCCTTTCTAAGGGTATTTGAGTTTGGTTCTAACCACTGAACTGCCCACTGTAAAGACTCAGACCTGCCTAGGTACAGTGGCTCATGCCTGTAATCCCACCACTTTGGGAGACTGAAGTAGGTGGATCATCTGAGGTCAGGAGTTCAAGACCAGCCTGGCCAACATCGCAAAATCCCATCTCTACTAAAAATACAAAACTTAGCCGGGTGTGGTGGTATGCACCTGTAATCTCATCTCCTCAGGAGGTTAAGGTAGGAGAATTTTGCTTGAACCTGGGAGATGGAGGTTGCGGTGAGACAAGATCATGCCACTATATTCCAGCCTGGGCGACAAAGTGAGACTCCGTCTCAAAAAAAAAAAAAAACCACAGACCTCAAAACTGCAACAGAGGATGACAACCCAAACTATGATGGACAAACACTGGTGACAGAACAGAGGAAATTAAAAAACAACAACAACAAAAAAATAGAAGCCCTAAATGCAGAAGTCACACAATACCATAAGAGGCCAGAAGTCCCTGATACACTTTGTGTCAAAAACAAAAAAAGTCTAACGCCATAGAGTCCTAGGATCAGAGAAGCTCTTTCAGAGAGTCAATTCATTTACCCGTCTGCTGTGAGGGCAGAATTGTACAAACTTCAAGCTACAATGGTAAAGCCTCTCATGCTTCCTCATTCATTTTTTCACTCAACAAATGCTATCTATCACATATAAAGCACTGTGTTAACTGCAGTGGTGAAAATAAGTATGAATCTGGTATGGTTCTCAGCCTCTAGAAATTAATAACGTTTCAAGGAAAATAAGGGAACACATTAATAACCACCAAAGGTAGATAGATTCTTGTCTTTAAGAAAAACCCAAGAACAGAGACCAGGGAGAAGGGAGGCAGGTGAGGCTGTATACAGAAGAGAGAGCTGAGCTGAGCCCAGCAGGACAGGCAGGAACTATAAATGTGCTTCTGGGGAAAAAGACACCACTGGCAAAGAGAAGGGCATCGGAATAACACCCTAGAGAGAGACCTGGGACCGGAATCAGGAGTAGTAGTTGGGTTTAGCCACCATTCGAGTTAGGGTGAGGGTGAGGGTGGAGGCAGGAAGTTTCTCTTTTTTCTGCAGGGAATAGGAACTCGTCAAAAGACTGACTACAGAAGGGTGGTCTTGTCTTCAATTTCTATCTACTGTTACTTCCAGAAAAACAAGAAACAGGTCAAATATAGTTTAACTCTGCCCCAGATCACTCAGAATTTGGCCCGTGGCACTGTCTGTGGTTCTACTACACATATAACCTAAATCCCTCAAAACTGGTATTTACACACATTTCTTCAGATCTGCAATTCACCAGAAACTCAAAGTAAATAACATTTGTTACTCACGGAGGCCATTACACTCTCTGTGAGACCCATCTACACTCTCTGTAAAAGAATTTCACTTTAACTTTTCTCCTTTTACCTTGAGGGAAAAAGACTTGTGATTTTCCTACTGTATCCAGCTTTTTCAAGAAAGACCAAGGAAGCACTTAGCCTCTTCTCATGCCTTCACATGAGAAGAGGTTAAGTGCTCTCCTGGACATCCTAAGGAAACAGCTTAAGCATTACATGTGTCCATCAGCAAATGCATTATCAGTAGCCTGTAGCTGCAAGATAATGAGGTCTATTAAATTTTTATCTTGGCAAATGTTTAATCCACTTAAGGGCAAAGCACTGTATCAAACCCAGCTACCTAGCAGAGACCTCCCCAAAATGCCTCTGAGCTGACTATCATGGAACACTAGGTCCCTTGCCCTAGCTGTGCCATCACCTTCATATGACAATTCCTCCCCTCCCTTCCTGGGCCTGCTATCTCATCCATAAGGTGAGGGAACTGGACTAGTACAAAATGATCTCCATGATCCCTGCAGCTCTGAAACACCAGGACTCTAGGCAATTGACCAAAATTACTTTTTTTAATAGATGGCCGCAAGCTGGGATTACCCAGTACTGTGTGAGAAGCACAAAATCAACTTCGTAAACTGTTAAGTCTTAACTACAGGGATGGACTATCTTTCTGAAAAGGGGAGGGAGGAGCCTAGCAAATCTCTGTACTTCCATTCATGCTCCATCACTCATTCTTAGACTTTTTGGTCTCTGGACCCCTTTATTCTCTGATAAATCACTAAAGATGCCAAATAGCTTTTGCAGCAGATGTTGATTACATCTGCTGGTATATACTGTATTAACAATTAAAACTGAGAATTTAAAAAATATTTAATTAAAAATAACAGTAAGTTCATTCCATGTTAATACAAATAATTTTTAATGGAAAAGACCCTATTTTCCAAAAAAGAAAATGTGAGAAGAATAGCACTTTTTCCCCCCATATCTCTTTAATAGCTCACTTAACAGAAGACAGCTGGACTACCTGCTTCTACGTTGAATCTATTGTGATGTTATTTTTGAAGTTTACGAAAAAAATTTGCTTTTTCACAGACACGTGGTTGGAAAAGGAGGAGTATTTTAATGGCCGCCACAGACAATGACAGTAATTTTTCTTTGTCATGACTCCAAAATGCCACACGATAGCTTTTTAGAAGTTACCTGCAATGTGGTCTGGGTGCAGTGGTTCACATCTGTAATTCCAGCATTTTGGGAAGCCAAGGAGGGTGGATCACCTGAGGTTGGGAGTTTGAAACTAGCCTGGCCAATATGGCGAAACCCGTCTCTATTAAAAATACACAAATTAGCTGGGTGTGGTGGCCCGTTCCTGTAATCCCAGGTACTCGGGAGGCTGAGGCAGGATAATTGCTTGAACCTGGAAGGCAGAGGTTGCAGTGAGCCAAGATCGTGCCACTGCACTCCAGCCTGGGTGACAGAGCAAGACTCTGTCTCCATCCATCCATCCATCCATCGGTGATCTTGCCCTTTCAATAGATCTTTTACCCAATGCGGAATTCCTAACATCAGACTGAATGTATACAGGTCTTCCAAATGCTAACATCTTCATTATATATTAATAATATTTTAAAAAATCACATTCATTAATATCAACTGATCTCATCAGAAAAGTCTCCAAGTACAGAGGCCATCAAGCCCATGGCACTGGATACTTGCTTTTTTTGTTTTCCTTTTTCTAATTTTGCTTGAAAGCTTGAATTTTATTCTAGGCAACAGATAGGTATTGTCTATTGTTTTCCTTGAGATGATGGGCTTATTTCTCTCAGTCTTGCAAGTACTCTGTCTGAATGACCTACAGTTTGTTAGTTGTTCTTTCTGGTTCTATGAAAAAGAAAAGCAGCAAGTTTGGTAGACAACTCGAATAATCACTCAAGGTCTTTGCCTTGAGACAAGCAATATGCTTCGGTACTGACAGAAGTACTTCATGCGTACTTCCTGTTTTGCCACAGAGAATATGAAAGACCTATACTGAAGGGTCTCAATTTTTTAAATACTAGTATTCCGACTGTTTCATCAAAGACATTCTTAAGTACAAAGGGCTTTTTTTCTTTGCACATGTGTGGCAGTAAAAAATACAATGACAACTAGTATAATTTGGTGCCACTGCCTTGATTCATTAACAGTGTGATTTTACCCATCATTGCTTCAGTGCAATTTTACCCATCATTGCTTTCACTTGTGGGTATTTGCTAACTGCAAGTGAAAGCAATTCACTTGCAGTTAGTGAAAGCTAAGCACAAATCTCCACAAGTGAAAAGGCAGACAACATCTTAGTATTATTATGAAGATAGTTTTGGCCTCATAGACTTTTTGAAATAGTCTTTGGAAGCCCAAAAAATCTGCAGACCACATTTTACAAATGGCTACTCCAGCTCACCTTTAGAGAGCCAGTCTGTCTGCTGGTTTCAGATTGACATGGGTAAGAAGCACAGAGGCTTGATATATATAATGGAACTCAGAGAGGCAACAAGAGAAGAAATTTGCCCAAGAACATAAAATGAGGCTGTCTCCAAAGCAGTCAATAGTTTGATAACATCAAGTGTTAATGAATAATCTCACTGAACACACTAAGAAATAACTCACACGTTGGGGATGGTGCTCACGCCTATAATCCCAGTACTTTGGGAGGCTAAGACGGGCAGATCACTTGAGCCCAGGAGTTCAAGAACAAGCTGGCAACATAGCAAAACCCTGTCTCTATTAAAAAAAAAAAAAAAAAAAAAAAGTATGCAGGTGCATGCCTGTAGTCCCAGCTACTCAGGAAGCTAATGTGGGTGGGAGGATCACTGCAGCCCAGGAGATGTCGGTTGCAGTGAGCCATGATTGCGACACTACACTCTAGCCTGGACAAAAGACCAAGAACCCATATAAAAAAAAAAAAAAAAAAAAAAGGGAAATAATTCATGGAAGCGTTTGGGATTCCTATTTGCACCCTCTAACTAGGGGTTTTTACTGAGCCCTTGATTTCTAGAAGAGGTAGGTGTGTGCATACAAACGTGTGGTAGCCATAGAAGTACTTCCATGTATTTTGTTACTTGGCAAACTGGATAAAAGGGTAAGGAAAGGCAGAAATATAAAAGGAACTCAGCTTAAAAACATCCCTAACACTTCCTACATATTAACAGATTAATTTAGGTTACGAAGGTCCTCCAAATCAACCTCTACCTTAATCATACTTGGTGTGTTTTCTACATAAATGCTTGTGTCAATCCTATGCCCCAGGCTAGAAGTACTTTAGGTCCCCTCAAAGTACTTTCTCTTGTACCACCTGTGATGGGACTGCGACACCTGCCATCAACTACAGATGGGCCTTCCTGGTCACCTACATTGTGTCACAATATCAGGGCAGGAAGGGAACCTCAGAACAAAGTACACCCTGGAAAATGTCACAATACAAGCCCAAGGAAGATATCTTCTGATGTGTGATTTCCAAGAAACAAGGACATAATTTTGAATTGGCCGTTAATTATAACACAATGTAGAGAGAGAGAAAAAAAGAGATATTCGGAATAGCTAACAGGCATGCATCAGCTTCCACATGTCCAAAACCTATGAGCTACTATCCTGAAGTTGCTAGTGGCTAAGTTTTGAGATTCAGAGAGGTCTCCATAAAAAGAAAAATCCAGACTCCCTCTGCTAAGTATTGCTTAGACAAGTTGATATCTGAGATCAAAAAGGGGCAAAAACTGCAAAGGAAACTACAGAGAGCGAAGCTTAGCAGTACCTCTAACGGGAAGCCGTGATATGCCACTGGTGGTGTGTGCAGCTGCTTCTGCGTGGGGGCTGCCAATGCTGATAAGGCCGGAGGAAAGAGGGGCAGTGTAAGCCACACTGCTGCCAGCTGTGCTCTAAGCAATCTACCACCAGCTAACTCCCACTGCAGGCTAATGAGGAATCTACAAAAGCATACCACCTGAGAAATAAGCTACAGAAACAGAATCTTAGAGGACTGGTTGAGTATGTCCAGCCTGGGGCATAGAAATCAGCTAGTGGTGGTGATGGGCCGGGAACGCAGACAGACCACATCTTCTAGTTACAACCCAGTTCACAAGAGAAAATGCCCTGTACCAGGAGACGGTGTAGGCAGAGGGAGCTTCTCCAGTGATGAGTTCCAGGAGAAGCTTCCATGGTCTGCTTGGGCAGTCATCAGGAATGGCATAAGTCTAGGACATGAAGGATCTTTCAGTAACTCACACTCAATCCACAAGGAAACACAGAAGAGGTGATAGCTGAGCTTGAGGAATAAACAGAAGGGCTGCAAAAGCTGGGATGCTGGGACACAGAGAAATGTCAGAGGTCTGCTGACATCAGGAATAGCTGGGAAACTCAATGGAGTAGCAAAACTGAATTTCTGATTCAAGTGGTAAGCCCCACACAGCCAGCATAGCTTCACAGTGGAGTCAATTTTTCCTTACATTTGGGGAAAATGAGGCCCAAAGAGGGCCAAACTCAGCCCAGATGAGGCTGGGGTTCCAGTTTCTCGAGACAAGACATAAGCCCTCTTTGGAGAATGCAAAGCCCGTCTTCTCCTTTCCTACCAATCCCTCAATTTGTTACGTGCAGAAGTTAATTGTTCTCTCTTCCCACTTCTTCAGTCAAATGAACAGTGATTTGGTAATGGGGCAGAAGTCGTTTGCAAAGTCTTTTGCAAAGGAAGCTTCTGATTCTGCTTGGAGATTATTTGGGGTTCTAGCACAGATGACACAGTTCTAAATTAAAAGAATGTCCTCTGTAGAAGCTTAAGTCCAAGCTCTTAGTTGGCACCAGCCTTGTAGGGCCAACACAGCTGAAAGGAACGAAGAAGAAGAAGAAACAGCCTAGAAAGTGGCAGCCCAGGAAAGCAAAGCTCAGCACGGTCACGTGAGCCCAATCTCTTCATTGCTGACCTTCATCTGTAAAGCGGAGGACTGATGAAACTGGGGAGGAAAAATAAGTCCAAGGGAGACTTAGGAACAGGAATCCCACCCAGGAGAGGAGAATGTAACAGCTACTCACGTTGTGCTGTTGCTCTGACCAAAGCGTTGGTAGGAGCCCGGGGAGGAGAGGTGACTGAGGCCTTCGGACGGGCTCTCCTCAGGGCTCACGTCAGTGGAGCTGTAGTCATGGTAGTCTTCATTCCGAAGTCTCTGAGTGGACATGGCAGCTGCGGAGACAGGGCCAGCATTAGGACTTCCTGCAGCTGGAGCCTGTAGCTCCATGTTTGGGGTGGCCTCTGGGGTAGGAGCTGTCATTGTTGGAGCTGCTCACTGTGACAGCTGTGCTATGGATTAAGTATGAAAGCGTCTGGTACTAAGGGAAATGAAAAAGTGCAAAGTACACCGGAGTGGGCTGGTTCACTCGGCTTCTGACTCCTATTCTTCCCATTGGTATACCTGGTGTTACACTCATAAATTTCTAAATTTTCCAGCGTATAGCTAGACGAGGCAGAGGTGAGGCACTGCTTGGGAGGAGTGGGGGAATGAAACAGTGCTTCCTGGAAGCACTCCTCATTCCTTAGGTCAGAATTATTCACTCCTTCCTCTGAGCTAATTTCTTGGACCTTGCACAATAGCTAAATTGTATATATATGCCCAAGCTCTTGGACGGAAAGCTGGGTATTTCTCATTGTATATTCTTTTTTCTCTGCCTTCAATAGAGAACCGGTTTCACTCAAGAAATCCCCTCTGGACCAGGCACAGTGGCTCACACCTGTAATCCCAACACTTTGGGAAGCTAAGGCAGGCAGATCACCTAAGGTCGGGCATTTGAGACCAGCCTGACCAACATGGAGAAACCCCGTCTCTAACAAAAATACAAAATTAGCTGGGTGGGTGGCACATGCCTGTAATCCTAGCGACTCGGGAGGCTGAGGCAGGAGAATCACTTGAACCCAGGAGCAGAATTTTCAGTAAGCCTAGATTGTGCCATTGTATTTCAGCCTGGGAGACAAGAGCAAAACTCTGTCTCAAAAAAGAAAGAAAAGAAAAGAAATCCTCTCTGGATCATCTAATTCTGCTCAAACTCCCACCAAGTTCCAGAGCCACACATGCCATTCTCCTTCTCTCTGCTGTGACCACTGTCCAATCCTATACTCTTTGGAGGCCACCACTCACTTTTATACCCTGACCCTGGGACTCCTTTCTTGCTGCCAACCTGAGTACTGAGAAATGGTAGCTGAAAGCAGCTCAGAGGAAGACCGAGAGCCTGAAGGGTGCTCACCTTGGCCCTCGTCTCAACATCTCCCATCTATAACTCTTCTTCCTTATTTCTATAGATTTGCACATTTTAAAAATGATGAGAAGAAAACTCTCCTTTCAATGTGTTGGGAGGATGTGAGAGTGGTGCCCCCTGGGTGGACTCAGGAATACTATTAATACTACACAAAAGAGAAGAACAAGGGCTTCTTTAAGATACACAAAAAGGACACATTTTGGGAGCTGTGTACAGGCCCCTAGAATCATAGAGACCATTGCTAAATGAGCCTTCACAGGCCACTCCAAGCCCCTTACTTTAAAGATGAAGAATCAATGCTAAGTAAACTGCCCTGCGACAGCTAGGTAGTACCAGGCAGAAAACATTATCTCCTGGCCCCTATCTGAATCTGAAAACATCCACTCTATAGAGTGCCAGTTGCTATGAGAGTATTACAGCACAGGGAAAGAGTCAACTTCCTCCCCTTCAAGAGCCAAGTAACAAAAAAAGGTACATTAATATTAAAAATTGCAAATAAAAATCCTTCTAACACTTTGCAGACTGGCACAGCTGTTTGCCCATGAGGCTGTCCTCTGGCATTTGGCTGGATGCCCACCCTAAGCCTGGGCACTCTATCTCAGCTACCTTAAGAGGAGACAGGACCTTCAACTATGTCACAGTACCCCACCCTGCCCAGACACCCAGGACCACCTGCCAGAAGACAGTGCTCTACCAAGGGTTCCCCTTAGGTCCAGTCTCAGGGGACTCCTTTGGAAACACGCCAGCCTGGCACCAGAGTGATCCACGGGAGACCTCATTCTCTCTCACCAACTGCAATGTAGGAAGGACCCTCAAGCCATCTCGCAAGGGAAGTACCTGGTAAAAAGCCAGCAAAGGACCTGGAAATCCCTGAGAGGACCTGCCTAGCTTCACTGCCAGAGCCACTTCAGTGAAAAATCTATGAGAGCTTCATTTACTCATGAGCTAGAGGAATTCAAGGATGCCATCCAGCTCTGGGGCAATTAAACTCATTAGAAGGCCAAGGGGGAAACAAAGTATCTGAAGTATCTTTTTTTTTTTTTTTGAGACAGAGTTTTGCTCTTGTTACCCAGGCTGGAGTGCAATGGCCCGATCTCGGCTCACCACAACCTCCGCCTCAGGCAATTCTCCTGCCTCAGCCTCCTGAGTAGCTGGGATTACAGGCACGCGCCACCATGCCCAGCTAATTTTTTGTATTTTTAGTAGAGATGGGGTTTCACCATGTTGACGAGGATGGTCTCGATCTCTTGACCTCGTGATCCACCCGCCTCTGCCTCCCAAAGTGCTGGGATTATAGGCATAAGCCACCGTGCCCAGCATCCTGAAGTATCTTTACACCAGTATTCAAACCTCTTGCTATACAGGCATAAGCTCGTAAGTCAGTTTATAGGTATGTCAGGAGGCCCAGGCGCGAGCCTGCCTCTGTCAACAGTTTGCTTACTACCTCCGAATCATTTTCAAATGTGCAAAAAGGCAGGGGCATAAACTAAAATATCTCTCAGCTCCTTCTAGCACTAATATTCTAGGTATCACTGAATATAATTATGCAAACAGCAGCTGCGTGCGGTGGCTCACATCTGTAATCCCAGCACTTTGGGAGGCTGAGGTGGGAGGATCAGCATGGGCCCTGGAGTTCAAGACCAGCCTGGCACCATCGTGAGACCCTGCCTCTACTGAAAAAAAGAAAAAGCTGCTAATTTCTAGTCCCTTCCAACATACCAAAATCATCTGAAGATAAAACCTTCTGAGTGAATCCTGTGAGAAAGGAAAGAAACTTTTTATCTGAGGAATCCCTTTAAATTATCAGGTCCAGAGAGGCGCTAAAATGTGACAGCAGTCACCTCATTCCCCCCTTGGGTTAAATAATTACCTCTTGAAGCCCCTTGCTATGTGGGTTCTAGACTAACTGACACCACTAAGTCATAAAATGCTAACACTGGACATCGTAACTCATACCCTATAGTCCAACAACATAGTCCAACAATGTACAGCCCATCACTAATCCATGTTATTTCGACAAACCGATGAGAATTCCTGTCAAATAACTTTGTGTCAGTCCTCTCCTTGTCTGCTTTTGCCCTTAAGAGCCTGTGCTAACAAAGGCCAAAGGAAGCACTCCCCTAGGCAACTTGGAAGTGTATCCTGGGCAGCTGTCCTCACTTTGGTTCAAGAAAACTGTTAAAAATTATATTTTGGGTCTCAGCTTCTTCCTTTAGGTTGACACCTATATATTACTGAAGGTGAAAGGATGAATACAGGGACTCATAAGCTGCCCAGTCCTTCCCTAACAACTGAGGAGCCACTCTGTTGCTTACGTGGTACAGATGCTTGATTTATCTCAAACGGTCTAACGAGGCTCCTTTATGTTGCGTATAAAAACTGAAGTTACCCACAGCAGAATGTTGCTAAGAAAACTCCTCAAGAAGAAGCTGAAATCCATAGATATAAGGTCTAATAAGCCACTGCAAGATATGGAAGATGTGGCCTCACAATTGCATACATATCGAAAAAAGAAAAAAAAAATTCTGCTTGGGAGTTCTGGTTGATGATAAGCTCAACAGAAGGCAATAATATAATTTAAGATGCCAAATAAAGCAATACAATCTAGATGGCATTAAGACATGAAAGAATCATGTAGATGTTACATAACTCAGAATTGCCAGACTTTGTGTTCTGTTCCAAACAGCATGCTATAAAGGGAGTAATGAAATACAGTGGTATATCCAGGGGTCAGAACCAGGGTCAAGAAGGGTAGGAAACCAACGAAATGAGGACTGGTTGAAAGCGCTGAGAAGGTTCTACCTAGCAACTTGAGAGGTACAAAAACTGTCTTTAAAAGCTGTCATATGCATTAGACTTGTTATTTGGGGCCTCAATGATCAGGCAGTAAGTGGAGAGTCAAGATGGCTGATTTTTGGCTAGGCATAAGGAAGAACTTTCTATCAAAGACAGATCTGTTCCAAATAGAACAGATCACTCTGAGAAAAAGCCTGTTCCCTTATCCCTGGAAAAATCCACGCAGAAGCCCTTTCTCAGAGCAGTTATGTAAGGATTCAAGCACCAGACAGCGGGTGCAGCCGCTCCCTGGAGTTCTTTCTAGGGTTCTTTCTGGAAACCAAGGTCTCTTCCTCCTGCTCTCCGTCCATCCCCTTCATTGCCAGCCTCCACGGCCACGCTGCCCTTGGGCTCCCTTTGATGAAATCTAATAGCCAAGTCTATTGCTGCAATTGCCAGTTCCCACCCTACTGGAGATTTTAATAGTACCTATTAACTGTCCATATGAGGGTTATACTATACAGAGCTGAAGGCAAGCTTGTCCTTCAGATTTTTGATGACAATGAACAGAATACAAAGTCCGAATCTGCATTAGATATTTAGACTCAGAAGGGTGAGCAGAAGAGTGAGCAACTAAGAAAAGTCTGCATGTTTGATGGCCAAGAAAAATTAAAAACAAAAATTTAAGTGTACCAACCTTAAAACATTTCCTTTTCCCTTATATAACTATTTTTTTAGTTGTATAAATGACAAGAGTTGCTCTTCAATCTACAGAATACGCTATTTTCAGCTTGGCACTGAAAATGAGCAGGGGGGATTGCTTTGGGCAATGAATGCAGTATGGAAGATGTACATGCAAAATGAATTTTTATTTTAAAAAATAAAATAAATTTTATTTGTTTTAAAAAATAAAAAATTTTCTGTGTTACATTTTCTGGAGCTGGGCAATTTTAAAGGGGAATTCTACTGTGGTTTTTTTTTTTTTTTTTTTTTTTTTTTTTTTTTTTTTTTTTAAGGCAAAGCCAGAAATTTTTCTATTAAATTTAGATGCTGATGTGATTCAGGACTCAGGAGAACATAACCGGGTTGTTAAAAGTTTTGCTCTAATCCTAAAGTTGTTTTCTTATTTTGATACAGAATTGAGAAGATTGCATTAGA